GAAACAATGAATCTTAAGCGCCTCTGTCGTGTCGAAACACCGCACCAGAAGCGAAGTGAACCATATCGAAGCACCCGCGAGTCAACCCTCGGAGGTTGAGAGGTTGCTGGAGGTTACGCAAAAGTCAAAGGTCAAGCGACCTTTGACCTGACAAATACAGCGCGACAGCAAGGACACACAACTGACTCGTTACAGAGCAGTTGCCCGAGTCGTCACTGTATCGAACCGCAACAGCAACAGTAAGTATTTATAACTGCATCCTTTCATATTCCATGTAATCTTATATAATCTTGTATCTCCTTGCCTTAATCAACTTACTTTGCCCTCACATACCAGCGCAAGGTGGTTCACAACTTCTTCATTAAACGCTTCCGCTATTACATCGTTCCTACCCAGAGTTTACCCCTGCAAAGATCCTAAGGGCTTTTCTCAGCCCAACAGAAAAGAGAGTACATCGAGCGAAGGTTAAACAACGACTAGCATGGCAACGGTAACGAGCGAGTTGTGGGTGTGCGATGGGCTTGGCACTGAGGTTGGAAATTGTCTGAGGCGGATGACAGGAGCATGGGTTACCAACTGAGCGTGAGGATGGACCGCGATGTGAATAGTGGTCGAGGCGAGTGCTATGAGGTGGTGACGGTTTTGTGCTGGGGTGGTGTGGAGGGAATAGTCCTGTATGTAATAGGGGTGCTAAGTAAGAAAAAGGACATTTCTCTACAAAGGGTTTCACTCTACAAGCGGGGTTGACTTCAAGGACACGATTCCGCAATTATTGTTGCCACCACTTCGGAACCTGTCAGAGTGCCGCCTTTTCAGAGCAAGTCCGTGTCAGGCGCTCACAGTCTGGCTTTCTGGGTTGAAATGGAAAATGGAGCAGAAGTGTACCGTCACCTATGCTCTACCGTCCGATAAGGTGGGTGCACCATGTAATTGCGGCTGGATTTCGGTTTGAGAAGCAAATTTTGAACCTAGTCGCGTTGACTCACCCCAACCATTCCACCGTTCCAGCGTTGTATCTGCCTACCAATATGGTACTTTCTCCTTCAACTCTCTCCGCCATGGCTGCCTCTCGAGATTTCATTCTTAGACAATGTTAGGCCTAACTCTATCAGTTCTATAATCTGAAGACATATTCGAGATCTACGCAGCAGTAGCTTGTTGATGACACCATCATTGTGTTCAAACAGCGAACATCGGTCAGTCGTCACTTCTTCTGTAAAACGTCTTTTCAGGTTATTAACTGCTCTGAAGCTCTAAGACATTGCTCAAGACTCTCGCTCAAAGGTTTTTCACCATGGTCCGGCTGATTTCAAATCGTCATTCAAGATGGCACATGGAGAATAAAAACAGATCAAGAGGCAACGAAAAATGCAAATACAAAGAAGTTGGACGGCGAAACATATTCCGCTTATCAGCCTTTGCTGTTCTTCAGCGTCAACCAAGGGAAACAGATGTTATGAGTCAACCACTGATTCAAACGTCCAAGTCCGATTTATTCTCAGGTTCCAACAAAACAGCGGGTTTGACATCTACAGATGAAGAATACCTTACTACTATCACTAACATGGCTGCTGATTTGATTGAAGTGGAGAATGGTTTCATATCCGACATGTTTGACGACGGGAATTTTTATCCGAGTGCTAAGGAGAATGACACGAGCTGTGTCTGGATGTTTTCAAGAAACACGCTACAGGAGGCATATTTGCAACTGGAAGACAACGATTTCAGCTTTTCAAAAGGTCGTCTCCATGGATCAAGCGGAACGCTTCAAGCTGCACATGAAACAGGCAGAACGCGTGCAGCAGGAGGTGCAGTTCATTTCCCTAACACAATCGGAGTACAAGTAGCTCCAGTCACAACTCTTCCAGAAGTGTGTCAGATCGCAATCTTCATGGGAGGTGCTCGCCACCGATTTCGAAACAGGCGTCGCCTATTGCAACCGAACCAGGAAAAGCTTGGCAATACGGATTGGTTGGGTGCAGCCAAACCGGACTCGAAGATTCAGCAAGAGGGGAGTACAGATGAGTTACTACCGGTGCTGAAGTTTGCCAGTGACTCAAGGGTTTCTCCTAGTGGGCAAGATGCAATTTTTTGTCGTTTGACTTATAAACCACCGTGGAGGCATCCGCGAGGGTACGGTATAATTGTACCTAGGCCCTCTAGCCCGGTTACGACCGTGGAGTGTGTTTTTTGCATTGTATAATGTAATTTCACCTCCAAAAAAAAAAAAATGAACCTAGTCGCGTGTTCACCAAACTTCTCAAGCGCTTTCTAATAACTGACAGCCTCATCGATTCGCAACATAGATTGTTGTCGCCCTAGACTTTTCGCCACATTATTGTCCCCACCCAACATCTCCGCGACAACCGGTGGCATTCGCCTGCTTCATCCATCCCCAAAAAACCAGCCCAAACGAAAAAACATTTCGCAGCCGTGGCACCCGCTTTCCTTTTCGCAAACATCCCCCGCCCCGCCCTTTTCCATTCCTCCTCCCCTTGGCCTCCTTCAAATCCGCGATTATTCCGCTGGATTGCTCCTCAGCATCGAATGCGCATTCCTTGATCGGACGGTGGTGGTGCCGGGTCAGCTGGACACTTGGAGCATCGCGTTCCCATTTCACATTCAATTCACTTCGCACCCCCTCGTCACCATTACGCGTTCCATCGCGTTCCCCATCCAACCCGGCTGGCCCAATCAGGAATCAATTGACCATCCAAGCCCATCCAAGTATTTCTCCTGCTCCTATCCCCAATGCTAGTGTGATCTTTGGGTTCAACTCCGCATCATTCCCTTCAGTTAGCAGCTAAACTATTTGAAAGCAGGCTTCCCATCGTTTGTTTCCCATTTGACCGTCATGGGTTCGACTTCTGCTGACTACCACCAGGTGGCGTCCGCGCCATGCCAAGACCATCGCCGGAACCAAACGTGCTGCTGCCACTCGAGAAAACGAAAGGCCTATTCAAACGGTTTCGACGGCGAGGTCGACACCCCCAGCAGCCCGCTGAAAAGGGGCCGCGGCGCAACGCGCTCTGCGCCTCCCAAGTCATTCCCTTACGTATTCACAGGGGCGAGTCAACATATGAACGAGTTTTATGAAATCGACGATAAAATTCTGGGGACGGGGAAATTTGGAACCGTGAGACGATGCACCTGCCGATCAACGGGGATGCACTACGCGTGCAAGTCCATTTCCAAGGCAACGCTAGTCGAAGCGGACGATATCGAGGATGTGCGTCGCGAGGTTCGTCTGCTGCAGAAAGCGATGGGCCATCCAGGCGTCATGCGACTGCACGCAGTGTTCGAAGACGACAGCGATGTGTATTTGGTTACAGAGCTCTGCGACGGCGGCGATCTCTTCGACGAAATCGCGCGACGCGGGCGATTCAGCGAGCGCGACGCGGCGCAGGTGTTCATGCAGGTGGCATCAGCCGTCGCGTTCTGCCATTCCCGCGGCGTGATGCATCGCGACATCAAACCCGAAAACATCCTCCTCTCCTCCTCCCCGCTCCTACCCTCAGAAAGAACACCGTCAAACCCGGCGGAAACCCCTGCGCAATCGCCATCCCCAATCGACAGCCACCAGCACCGCTCGTACCATTCCGTGAAACTCGCGGATTTCGGTCTCGCGGTGCCCTTGGAGCGCGGCGAATGCACGACGGGCCCCGCGGGGTCGCCGTACTACATGGCGCCGGAGGTGATCTCCGGCCAATACGGCCTCCCCGCCGACGTCTGGTCGCTCGGCGTCGTGCTTCACATCCTCCTCACCGGCTCGCCGCCTTTCTGGGGCCCCGACGATCAGGGGATTCTAGACAGCGTGGTGAACGGGCGGGTGGATTTGGGAGAAAATTCGGCGGCCTGGGCGGGCGCGCGCGTGTCGGCGGAGGCGCGCGGGCTGATTCGGTGCATGCTGGAGAGGGACCCGCGGCGACGACCGTCCGCCAGCAAGGTGCTCTCGCACCCCTGGCTGCTGCTGCACGCGTTTGGCGGTCGCATCGTGCGGAAGGTGAAAGGGTGCGCGCACGCGGAGGAGGGGAGCAATGCGTCCGCGACGGCTGGTGTGATTGTATCGAATGTTGGCGCAGTGGGAGGGAGGTAAGGTACGAGGTCTCCGCTCGTGTCGCTCCTTCGCAGGAGTCGTCGCGCAAAAAATGGCGTGCGCGGAATACGTCGAGCGTGGAATGTGCCGTCGAGGCGGAATGGCGCACAAGGCGCAGCTTGCGGTTGCGACCATCTCTCGGCGGAGCGCAAGGCCCGACTCTGTTGAGTTCCCGGAACAGTGAAGGGCGTTCGTGTCAGGAATGGGCATGCTCTTTTGCGTGGCCTGGAATCGTTGGATTGAAGGAAGCAGCAGCTGTTGAGGGTGTCGCGCGAAGGGCGCTACTTCTCACATTCGAGTAAACCAGATCGAGGGGTGGCTGGCAAAGTCTGGCTGGCTGGAGCAACCATCAACAGAATAGATAAATTTGTAAATTAATCAGTGTACCTCTTTAGTGTAGGATCAGCATAGGTATCAGCATAATGTAGGATCCAACATGACACGCACAATTCTTGAGATTCCAAACGCATAGCTTATTTCTGTATAATAAATTACAACGGTATTACAAACCGCGAATACAAAAGGCTTCCCAAAAGGGCTAAAGGGAATCTATGGTAAGAAAAAAAGGGAAGGGGTGGGACCAATCTAGAATGAGGTGCAGGAGGTCTTGCTAGTGAAGCATGCAACAAAGATACGGTAACAGGGGAGAGCCAAACCCAGTGGAGACAGTAGTCGTGGAAGAGATGAAGATGCTCAAACGAAGCTGCTCCAGCTGTTGCTTCCGATGCTTATGCTGATAACGCACAGCAGGCTGCTTACTGCTGTCATAATCTAAACACGGGCACGCCGACCGCCTTCCCCATCCCACTGCTCTCCCCACCCCGATCCCCACCCCCCCCTGCCAATAGCGGCTCTGTCCCAGCTGTTTGCGGCGACGGCTTTCTCTCCCCCCGGCTGCCACCTGTCATCCCCTCACTGGTTGCTGCTGCTCCCCTCTGCACCACCGCATCACCCACAAGATGCGCTGCAGAGGAAGAGGAGAGAGGAACGTTCTGGGAAACGTCCTCGGGGCCGTCAACCACGACTGAGACAAGCTCACAGGAGTGGTACGGCGATGCTTCACTGGACTGGTTGTGGCTGGCGGGTGGAATGCCATGGGGTGTGTGGGCGGTGGCGTCAGCATCAGCAGCCACACGGCCTGAGCTGGCAGCACTGAAGGCAGCAGCGCCACTGCTGGCAGCACTGCGAGCGGCGGCAAAGGCAGCCGCAGCCGCAGCGGCAGCAGCAGAGGTCACAGCAGACACGGCAGCCGCAGCAGCTGAAGCTGAACTCCCCGGCCCGTCTGACACGCTCCTGGGACGCAGGTGGGCAGGAGGGCTTGTGCCCGCCACCGCTTGCAACCCATCTGCACCGTTTTGCACAGCAGGAGAGGCCTGCGCACTGCTGGAAAACGGATGCCTTTTCACCGGCACAAGACGAGTTTGCGCGTGCCGGTCGGCGTGCTTTGACTTCTTCCCGCCGCCCTCTTCGTCATCGCCGTCCTGATCATCATCGGAGTAGGAAGAGGAGGCGTCACTGTGTGCGCCGCCCTGCTCCTCATCGCCATCCAGCATGGTGAAGGCGGACTGCAGCGAGGGGTGCAAATAGGCGCGCGCCAGGAAGGAGTGCGGGTCCTCATTGGGGTGCACCGTGCGGTCTATCGTGTCCTTGCGGTTCGCTTCCTGCAGGCTGGCAGGCAGGCAGGCAGGCAGGCAGGCAGGCAGGCAGGAGGTACGGAAGCAACGAGTGGATGATAGAAATGAGGGCGTTGCAGCAAGTGGAAGTGGCAACATTAAGTGCGGGTCCTCATTGGGGTGCACCGTGCGGTCTATCGTGTCCTTGCGGTTCGCTTCCTGCAGGCTGGCAGGCAGGCAGGCAGGCAGGCAGGCAGGCAGGCAGGCAGGCAGGCAGGCAGGCAGGCAGGCAGGCAGGCAGGCAGGCAGGCAGGCAGGCAGGCAGGCAGGCAGGCAGGCAGGCAGGCAGGCAGGCAGGCAGGCAGGCAGGCAGGCAGGCAGGCAGGCAGGCAGGCAGGCAGGCAGGCAGGCAGGCAGGCAGGCAGGCAGGCAGGCAGGCAGGCAGGCAGGCAGGCAGGCAGGAGGTAGGGAAGCAGCGAGTGGATGATAGAAATGAGGGCGTTGCAGCAAGTGGAAGTGGCAACATTGAGTGCGGGTCCTCATTGGGGTGCACCGTGCGGTCTATCGTGTCCTTGCGGTTTGCTTCCTGGCAGTGGGGTATTGGAGAAACACACCCAGGCAGGGAGACAGGGAGGCAGGGAGTGGATGGTAGAATTGAGGGTCTTGTGTTGAAGCGTGGCATGTGAAGCGTGGCATGTGACGATGGTGTCCTTGCGAGTGGCAGCAAGGATGAACATGGGTAGAGGGTTTGAACGGCACAAGTCGGACTGTGAGGGAATCAGGCAATCACCTGCTCACAGGCCTGCACTGCACACAGTGCACGGGGCACGGCGCTGCAGTACCTGTACTGACACACGCACCTCGAGGGCGAGCTTGGAGAAGGTGCTGTGGAACTGGCCGCGGATGAACGCCCAGTGCACGATGAGCGTGACCAAGGGCAGCGGGATGAGGCAGCACGCCTGGGTGGGCGCGTCCTTGAGGGAGAGGATGCCGGCCAGCGCCACCTGCTGCACCAGCATGGCCGCCAGCAGCCGCGCGTGGAAGTGCGGCCAGAACGCCCCCGCCATCTCATACCGCGGGCAGTACACGTTGATTATCTGCCGGGGGGGGGGGTGGAGGAGGGAGAGTGAGGGAAGGGGGGAGAAGGGAGAGGGGAGAGGAAAGGGGGAATGCACAGGTGGGCTCTTGCCATGTCATGGTGTGCTATAGATGCTGATTGATTGGATGGCCAGACCAACTGAATACCTAAAGGGGGTGGCGACGAAAGAGGAAAAGTGTTGTGAGGTGAGCCAAGCGCCCTGGTCAGGGGCATAGCAGAGACACAGCCCACACGGTCCGTCACAGTGGCAGAATGGGCGAGAGATCCGGGTACAAAGCAGCACAGACTGAACCTCCAGCCGTAGATGATAAAAGGAGCCGACGTGGTCCTTCATGACAGGAACGGACAGTCTGGGTGCTTCAGAACGAAGTTTGTGTCAACGTGTTTGTAAAAGGTGACCGACGGGGTCATCCTGGTTGCGGCAAAATGACAAGCATGGCCGACCTGGTTGCGGCAAAATGACAAGAATGGCCGGCCGGCAAAATGACAAGAATGGCCGACCTGGTTGCGGCAACATGACAAGAATGGCCGACCTGGTTGCGGCAAAATGACAAGAATGGCCGACCTGGTTGCGGCATCATGTCAAGAATGGCTGACCTGGTTGCGGCAACATGACAAGAATGGCTGACCTGGTTGTGGCAAAATGACAAGAATGGTCGACCCGGTTGCGGTAGATGACAAGAATGGCCGACCTGGTTGTGGTAGATGACAAGAATGGCCGACCTGGTTGTGGTAGATGACAAGAATGGCCGACCTGGTTGCGGTAGATGACGAAGGCGAGGATGTAGAAGGCGAGGGCGAAGGGCAGGTAGAGCGGGTTGGTGACACAGTAGACGAAGGGCAGCAGGAAGTAAAGCTCCACCTGGTGTGCGGGGACAACGGGGGGGGTGAGCGAAGGGGCGGAAGGGGCGAAGGCAGATTGGTATGGCACACACAAGATGCAGGGGTGGGTGTGATGGTGAGAGGTTGGAGCAGTTGACAAAGGGCAGCAGGAAGTGGAGCCCGACCTGGTGGAAGGAAGGTGAGGGGGTAGAGGGGGGGTTGGGGTGCGGAGAGGAGGGCGGAGTGGCGCACATAAAGGGAGGAGGCTTCGCGTGAAGCATGATCGGAAGTGGAAGGGCAGCGAGACAGGGGATCGGAGGTGGTACCTGGGAGAGAAGGGGAGGTGGTACTTGCGAGAAGAGAAGGGGACGTGGTACCTGCAAGAGGGGAAGTGGAGGTGGTACCTGCAAGAGGGAAAGTGGAGGTGGTACCTGTGAGAGCGTGTCGACGAGTCGGAGGCGGCGGGGTCTCATGGCATGTATCCTGTCCGCTGGCGTGCGCACCAACAGTGATCTCTGGCCGCCAGCCGTGGGTCGAGCAGTGGTGCGGGGGAGCACGGAGCAATGGGGAATCAGGAAGTTGGGAGGGTGGCAGAGTGGGGTGGCAGGTGGGGGAATGTGAAACGGGAGAAGGAAGAGGAGAAACAGTTTTTGTGGTCCGTTCATGTAATGAGGGAAAAGAGAAGGTGGAAAAGAATGGGGGAAAAGAGAAGGTGGAAAAGAATAGGGAAAAGAGACGGTGGAAAGAATGGGGGAAAAGAGAAGGTGGAAAAGAATAGGGAAAAGAGAAAGGGGAGTAGAGAAGGGGAAAAAGAGAAGGGGAAATAGAGTAGTGGGGAAACAGAAGGGGTGAAAGAGAAGGGGGAAAAGAGAAGGGGGAAAAGAGGAGGGAAAGAGAAGGGGGGAAAGAAAAGGGAGAAAGAGGGAAAGGAGAAGGGAAGAAAGAGAAGGGGGGAAGAGAAAGAGGGAAAGAGGGGGAACGAGGGTGGGGATGGAGGGGGGAAGGGAAGATGGCAAGAATTCAAGAAGAGCGCTGACAGAGGAGGGTTGAGGAGAGATGATTGCACCTTGAGGTGGAAGAGCAGCAGGTACCAGACTTGCAGCGCCTCGCCGCCCATGCCGACCCAGCCGTCCACCATGGTGAAGGTCATGAAGAAGGTGGCCTTGGTGGGAATGCGCGACCCCAGGATCTGCGGTATGCTGCGCGCCCCACAGGTGGTTGGGGGATGGTGGGGGGGTGGTGAGGGAGTGGTGAGGGGGTGGTGGGGGGGTGTGGGGGAGTGGTGAGGGGGTGGTGGGGGGTGGTGGGGGGGGGTGGGGGGTGGTGAGGGGGGTGGTGGGGGGGTGGTCGGGGAAGGAAGTGAGGGAAGAGGAGGACGAGGCCCACCCAACAGTTTGACATTCATTCTTGCCACTCCTAACTACCACGCCCCCCTCCTCAGTACTCCTCTCAGGACGGGCGCGCCCGGTGGGATGGGAGGAGGGCTTACCTGGTGGTGTGCTCGGAGAGGTCGTGGGTGGCGGACAAGAGAGCACCGCCCATGACGTTGGTGACAATCACGGTCTCGATGATGAACCAGAAGTACTTGGTGGGGGCAGGGCGCACCTGGTGAGGGGCTTACCCAGTGGAGTGGGAGGAGGGGGCTTACCTAGTAGTGTGTTCGGAGAGGTCATGGGTGGCAGACAAGAGAGCGGCCCCCATGACGTTGGTGACGAAGACAGTGCCGATGATGAACCAGAAGTACTTGCCCGTCGCTGCTAGGTCGATCTGCGACAGGCTCACATGGCCCTCCAGTGATGAGAGGAAGATGAGCAGGTACGGCAGCAGTGCCATGAAGATCTTCAATGCGAGGCCGGAGAGAATGTCCGTTATGAGTGCATTCACCACGGGGCTGTGAAGCAGTGGGGGCATGTGGGAGGGGAGGCAGAGGAAGATGAGCAAAAAGGGTAGTAAAGCGATCAAGATGTTGAGGGCAAAGCCGGAGAGAATGTCCGTTATGAGCGCGTTCACCACGGGGCTGGAGGGGAGAGGGGCAATGTAGGGCAGCAGCGCCGTGAAGATCTTGAGAGCCAGGCCTGAGAGGATGTCTGTGATGAGTGCATTCACCATGGGGCTGTGAAGGTGGCAAAGGGGGGAAAGAGACGCAGGAGGGGCCACTCTTTGAGTCGACTCATAAAGATCTTGAGGGCCAGGCCTGAGCGAATATCAGTGATGAGTGCATTCACCACGGGGCTGTGAGGGAGAGGAGCAAGGGGGAGGAAGAGAGAGGCAGAGAGGGAGAGGCAGGGAGGGGTGGAAAGAGTGAGGACTGTTGGGGGTTGGTGCAGCAGAGGTGCGACGAGGCTGAGAGGTGGGGTGAGGAGTGAGTTG